GCCTCTTGCTTACGGCCTCTGGCTAACGGCCTCCTGCTAACGGCCTCCGGCTGACGGCCTCTTGCTAACGGCCTCTGGTCTCTTGCTAACGGCCTCTGGCCTCTTGCTAACGGCCTCTTGCTAACGGCCTCTTGCTGACGGCCTCTTGCTGACGGCCTCTTGCTGACGGCCTCTGGCTGACGGCCTCCGGCCTAACCCTAACCCTAGCCCGGCCCCGCTCACTTGGACTTGCGGCCCCGGGAGTCGGAGCCGGCGGCGGGCGCCAGCGTCTGCGTGAGCGTGGAGGCCAGGGCGGAGGAGGAGTAGGCGGCGCCCTCCCGGGACAGGGAGGAGAACTCGCGCCCCAGCTGGAAGTCGTTGTTCTTGATGGCCTCGTAGCTGGCCTTCAGGCTGGACGTCCGCCGGCCCTCCTTCATCTGCAGGGGGACACGGGTTAGAACCGGCACGCTGCTGCCTAACCCTAACCCCTAACCTAACCATAACCCCTAACCTATAACCCCTAACCTAACCATAACCCCTAACCCCTAACCTAACCATAACCCTTAACCATAACCCCTAACCCTTCAGGCTGGACGTCCGCCGGCCCTCCTTCATCTGCAGGAGGAGACAGGGGTTAGAACCAGCACGCTAACCCCAACCCCGACCCTAACCTAACCCCTAACCATAACCATAACCCCTAACCCCTAACCCTAACCATAACCCCTAACCATAACCCCTAACCCTTCAGGCTGGACGTCCGCCGGCCCTCCTTCATCTGAGAAAGGACACACGGGTTAGAACCGGCACGCTGCTGCCCAATGCTAACCCCTAACCCTAACCCCTAACCCATAACCCCTAACCACAACTCTAACCTAACCCTAATGTAACCCAGGTGTTACTGAGGGTGTGTTTTTTTTAGTTAAAAAGGAACATAGTCTGCTAAGACATCAATGGTCTTATATAATTCATTAGTCCTGTATGATACAGTTTGTTTATTTTAATGTGCTATGCATTTAAATATGTTGTGGAGATTTAATTTACCTGTATTTCATTTAAAAGAGCAAGAAGCAGGAAAAGGACGAAATTACTATGGGTGTGCTGTATAAAGCTGTGTGTATGAGTTAAAACTGTCATGCATGCCAGAGGGACATTTCATTGGTTGGGAATGCACCGGAAGAACTGGGGAGAGGGGGGTGAAGGACGCAGGAGACGGAAAGAGGGGGAGACTCCATTTTTCTCTGGGTGTGCAGTCCTGTTCTTCTCTGCTAGGTGAGAGTAAACTGATGTAGTAAAAGAGACAGTTTGCTCGGAGGGAATAAAAACGGTGCCAGAGAGCCACAGCAGTTGCTGTCTGATCTGCATCGAGTGTTTAGTTCCTAGTTTACATGTTCGCCGAATGGATAAGCCTCAACCCAGCGCAGGGCAGGCCCAGACAAGTTAGCTACTGCCAGATGCAGCTCGTAGCTACTCAGGTTAGCGCCCTGGTTTCCGGACAGCCAGAGGCTCCTCCAGCCGCCCGGTCGGACACAGTTTTTTTTCAGTTTCACTGGAAGAATGGGACTACGGTACTGTGAGTAAAGGACATTAGGAAAAGGACTATTTCTACAGTGAACAGGCCTGCAACTATTCTTTTTGGGCTATTTTCTTTTATGTGCCGGCTATTTTGTTTAGTACCTGCACAGGTGTTTTGAAGCTTTTGTTTTAGTGTGGCCACACGGGGTTCTGTCATTTTCAGATGTGATATGGCTAAAGAGTACTTTCTTTACTGTGGGGGGGTTTACGGGGAAATGATCTTTTGTGTCATTCGGTGTGTTTAAAATAAATGTTTTATTTGAAATATATATATGCCTGAAAGTTTGACCACTCACTGAATAGTTTCACATTTCGAGGTAAAGCAACAGAGAGAACACAACACCCTTAAGTGATCACAGGACATGATTTGGGTTACACTAACCATAACCCCTAACCTAACCCCTAACCTATAACCATAACCCTAACCCTGACCTGGGCGGTGGCCTGCACGGCCTGGGCTGCTGCCATGGTGATAGCCCCGGCTCCGGCCCCCGGCCCGGCGGGCAGGGCGCTCAGGTTGTAGGAGGCCAGCGGCTGGGGGTTAGGGTTGGTGCTGTAGCTGTTGGTGGACGAGGACGTGCTGTTGGTGCGGCAGCCTGCGGGGAAAGGCATGGGTTAGGGGGAACCACCGGGGGGGAACCAGGAGGCTGCTGGGGAACCTAGAACCGGGGGGAACCTGGAACCGGGGGGAACCAGGAGGCTGCCGGGGAACCACCGGGGAACCCACGCTCTCACCTGGCGTGTTCTCCTTGGAGGCGTCGGACGTGAGCGTGGACAGCAGAACCTCAGACTTGAACTTCTTCTCAGGAACGTGTTCGGTGGTGTGGTGGGCCGGGGCGCTGTACTTCCTCTCTGTGGGTTAGGGTTAGGGTTAGGGTTAACCGACAGCACAATCCTAACCATGACCACAGCCTAACCACCTAACCCTAACCCTAACCACCTAACCCTAACCACAGGCAGGAGAGAACCCCTTTAAAAGGTGAACTCCTGATGGGATCCCTGAGCTTTTCTGACATGTTCTCCAGCTTAAGGTCACAAAGTGGGCAACAAAACACACTATTAATACAAAGATGTGGATCCTAAACCTGACTCCACTTCCTCTAGACTTAGAGGAAACCCTGCTGCCTCTAACCCTAACCCAGCGGCTGCAGGCCGTCCTACTCACTCTCAGCGGGGGCGTGCGAGTGCACGTGGTGGTTGTTGACCGGCTGGGACGGGCTGTCCATCTCCAAGGACCCTAAAGAGAGACAGACGGTTATTAGACTGCTCTGGATCTAGACCAGTGCGTCTCAATTATTTTCTGTTATACCCCCCCTAAACTATTCGCGCCCCCCCACTCCCTATCGTGACTATCCATCTCTGCATAACATTTTATCCTTATTAACATTTAAAAAAAAAAAAATAGCAAGACATATGGTCAAACTTACAAAGAATAACTTTATTAAATCGTGTTTTAAGTCTGCAACAGAAAAGATTTTAAGTGCATCAATGCCTGAAATTAAAAATAAATAAATCCTTGTTTAAACTGTAAACATGTTTGACCAACTAATTGCACCATTGCAAAATAAATCAAACCAATAAATAATAGTTATAATATCTAATAAACTAAAAAAATAATAACTAATTTATATTCAGTTAAGCAACCTTAACTCAGGAGCACAATATATATAATATATATATATTTCCTCGTCTTAGCTTTCGGGTGACTTTCTTTTGTCTCGTTATCTTTGTCTCTCTCCGCTTTTCTTTTCATCTGTTAAAACTTTTCCATGTTGGGGGGGTTATGTTGAATAATGGAGGCTATAGACAGAACAGTCGGAGCTAACCGAGGCTAACCTGTTGTCTTTAAGTCCTAAAATGTTTTACTGAAGTAACGATGAGACGCCACTGCCCCTACTGGAGTGGAGGCGTAATTACACTTTATACTAGTACAGCCAAAAAAAAGGCTGTTCCCCAGGGTTACACGCGCCCCCCCAGGTATCGCCCCACGCCCCCCAAGGGGGGCCCGCCCCACTATTTGGGAAGCACTGATCTAGACCCAGACCCAGCACCCACTTCTCTCCAGGATCTCCGTGATGCCGGCGTTGTCGGCCTCCAGCTCCATCTTGAACTTGGCCAGTTCCTGGTCCAGTTTGCGCAGGTGGCGGTCCACCTGAGGCCGGATGGGACAGATATGCATTATGATGGGTTTAAAAAAGCAGGAAACACTTTCAGGCTGCTGAGGACTAACTGTGTCCAGTAGCTAAAAGTAACTGGGTCGGATTTGTGGGGTTATGAACATTTTTACACACATTTAAGTCTCTTGTTTGTTGTCATGTGTGTGGATTTATTTGAATATAATAGTGTGTTTTCACCTTTACCTCTCTCTGTTGGACCATTACTGACGTTTGAAGACTGTGTAATGTGTTTTTTAGTGTGTGGGTCACAGGTAGAAACCCCATTTTCTGAAGCTGGTTTGATTTCATCTAAATTTTCTGACATTTTACTGGAAGCACTATATTTTCCAGCATTCACTTTGAAAAGTTCCCAACATTGTATTGACCACCCGGTTGTGGTCAGACCGAGGCGCTTCCCTCACCAGGTCATAGATCTGATTGGCCAGCTGGACCTTCTCGTCGGCGTCCTCCAGGGCTTTGTAATAATCCTGAAACACAGCAGAGAGGGCAGCGTCACACACACACACACACACACACACACACACACACACACACACACA